TCAGGATTGATTCATGTATGTAAATGTCACTCTCCCTAAAGATAACAATCTTCAAATCCTACACATTTGATTTAATAAAGCTTTTCAAATGAAATAAGTGATGAAGGAGAGAAATTTGGTGCAATCTTCTAGATTGTCATTAAAGCGAGCATTCTATATTAGTTTTGTGACTCTTCTAGAGCTCAAGTGTGTTGATTTTAACACTAAATATATGTTTCATCAAATATTCCTAAACATACTCATTTATCATTTGTGCAAAACAAGCTTTATTGTCCTTATTTAGGACATTGGAGATGATTCATAGCATAACCAGTTTGGGACTTAGCATCATGGGGATCAATAAAAAATAGTCAGTACCCAAGTAGCCCATTATAATCATATCTTGGTTTCTCGCATAAATGTCAAACTCTTTGTAACTCAAAAATACTAGAGGTGTGTTAAACACTATTCCAATATTTCATTGTAGGAGGAGCGCTAAATGTTGCTAGCAATTTCATCGTGAATACAATATTATGCCTGATGTGATTATGGAACTTCAGGTCATAATGTAGCGCTCCAACGACAATGAAGTAATGGGCTTTTGGTCATAAGTTATCCTCATTATCCTCTTCGAGTACGTCTAAACGGTTCTTAATCTATTTCAAGAGATTATTAGCTAGGCAACCAGTAGTGTTATAAGAACATAATATTAATCCATATATATATAACATCTTCAAGACATTTTTCAAGATATTAGGCTAATTGGTGTATAAAACTCCTTCAGTGAGATACTTGGTCTTCCGAAGTCATTCATTTCAAACTCCGTATTTAGGCATGAGCTAATATCATCAAGCCCTATATGTGGTTCAATAATAGTTATGCATAGAATGAGATAATAAATAAGCAAATTAAATAAATAACTACATTAGAAATTCTCTAATGAACACATAATGACACATTATTTGCATATTCCTTCTTCGGGAGGAAAACACTCAATCAACTGCTAACTATTCTAAGACACATAAAACCTTCATGTTTAACATCATACATGCATGTTGCGGTTTTCATTTTCTCTCATTTTGGGAATTCAAAATCCATAAGGGACTTTTCCAAATAACTATTAGTTGCATATCTAAATTTGTTATTTACTGTCAATGATATTATGTAACGTAACGGAACTTAATGTCGTATATTGTGGGAGAATATTTTTTACTAAAATCAATTATGGGTTTCTGCGTGAACCCTTGGCTACAAAACTCGCTTTATCACACCACCTCAGTATCCTTATTCCTCTTACCTACAAATACCCATTTGTAACCAATATGATTAACATTTAATAGTGTGTATGTGTTATAAAAATAAATTTATTTTAGCGAGTTGAGTTATGCCTTAATTGTTCCTTTATATACTAAATAGTCAGGGCATTCTGATGCATAGCTCTGGATCCAGATTATCATATAATATGAACAACTATAAAGATAATTGTGTTGTCGACAACAATAATATTTGTATTTTAAAATTATCACTATTCATAAGATGCACGACAATTTCTAAATCAACCAGATTATATTATAGTCATTTCCCAAATATATTTAGATATTGTCCTTCTGCATCACGCATATCTACTATACTAATAAGAGCCCAAGAGAGTTAGGTCTATAATGGGTAGAAAAAATGGCGGTCACAGATTTTAATCAAATGAATGGCTCAGATTGATTAAAAGATTGATAAGATTTAAATTTTACACTAAAATTTCCTAAAATACCCTCACATCGTTACTAATTCCGTTAAAATTTTAAGAATTGCCGTTAGTTCACCGTTAACTTACTCATTGATTTCAATAAAAAAAAAAAAAAAAAAGTCTTAGGTTCGAACCTCATCCCAATCAAAGTTGGCATAATTAGTACTTTATTTTACTCTTATTAAATTATATAAATAATAATTTAGTAGCTACAACAAAAAAATTATAGATATGCATTTCTTTAATTTAGAATTATGTGTCCACAATGCCTTTATTCAAAAAAAATTATTCATTATCAATAAATTAAATAAGAGAAATAATTGTATTAGTTATATTGTCTTTATTTTTCTGCAATATAAAAATTCTTTATATTCAAATTTATTAATTGATTATATTCGCTACATTGTCCTTACAATGTCTTAATTCAGTGAAAAAAAATTATTCATTATCAATAAATTAATTAAGAGAAATATTTTCATTAGTTATATTGTCTTTATTTTTTCTCAAATGTAAAAATTTTTACATTCAAATTCATCAATTGATTATATTCACTACATTGTCTATTATCTTTTTTTGTGCGCTATTTTTCTAATTAAATATCAAAGTTATAATACAAAATAATGTTATATATTTATTTACCAAGTATTTTATTAATATCATGAAAAAATTAAAAAAATATATAATTAATAAAGCCAACCATATTAACTACTTGAGAGATTTTGTGACAAAGAGAGTATTCAAATCACAAAACAAATTGAAGTGAGAACTACCTTGCAATGTCCTTGTTTGACAATCAGCAGTTAGCGCGCGGATTATATTAGCGGATTTGACCAACGAATTTATTTAATTATTAACATTGGGTAGAAAAAATGACCGCCAAATTATTAAATCAAATGAATGGTTCAAATTGTTCAGGTTTTAATTTTTTTTAAAATTTTTCTAATTTATCCTTAATTATATGATTATCCATTTAACTTTTCCGTTAAATACCGTTAATTCACCGTTAGTCTAATTATAATATTAACGTCTAATATAGAATTATAATTACACCATTAATCTAATTCTAATATTAAAGTCTTAATAGAACTTAACCACAAATCCTAATGTCGAAATCTCCTCAAACAATATTAGTATATATTTAATATTTTATACTCTAATTTTTATTTGTTCTCCCTTATGTTCCGTATTTGGTTTCAACCATACCTATACAATTATTTTATTGACAATTATAATCAATCTTGACTATATTATCTTGCATTTGTAAAATTAGAATTACCTATTTAACCCGCATGGGCTTAGCTCAATGGTTTAGTGGGCAGTATTTGGGAGAAGAGACCAAGGTTTGAACCTCGGCGGCGGCAGTGCGGGAATTATGTCCAAAGTGGGCAGATTCCTTGTTCGCACCGGCATTTGGTCCTGTCTGCTGAACCATTGAGTCACCGTGATTTACAACTTCCTACAATGCTCTGTCGGGTCAGAGTGTGGGGGGCCCTTGGGGTAGGGGACTCAACCTTTGGGAGAAGAATTACCTATTTAAATACGCAAAAAATATTGGGCATTATCCCAATCGCGCAATGCGCGTAAAAAACTAGTTATGATATAAGACTATTAATTAAAGATGAAGAGGTATTGTCATAATATAATACCTCTAGTAATGTCCACGTATATTTATTTACAAAATTTTTATTTATTTTACTGTAATATTGTTTTAGCATGAGAATTGAAAAATATTAATTATAAATTACCAAACTAACTGATCGGGAAGTCATTGGTTTTTCGATGACCTTCCATCATCATTATTTTATTTGTACAAACTACATTGCATTATTTATGTTTCAATATATTAATTATTAATATTTTTTGTCAGATATTTTGATTGTCATTAATTTTTAAATTTGATATTAGAAATTTTTATATTTTTAAATATTATTGACTCTATTACAAGATAGTCAATACTCCATCACCAGGGTTTGATCCTACGACATTCCCTCAGGGGGAGCCACAGAGGTGTTATTTGAACATAAAGTGTTTGGCAGAATGTGACTTTCAATACTGAATTTTAATGTTAAATCTTTTAGATTATCAAATTGTCGGAATGATTTTTTATTTTGCTTTTGTATAACTTACTTGTCCAAACATATGTTGGATGCATTTTGTGATTTAGGAATAGAAAAATATATCATTGGCCTTCATAATGCGCAAGGCAATAATAGAAATATTCATTTGAAATTTTATTTAAAAAATAATAATTTAATAATCCATTGTTGTTTATTAAGTTTATACATATATGTAGACAATATAATGGGTGTGAAACCATTTTATAACCGGTTTTCAGTTTTAGCCCCACAAAAAATAAATAAATTAAATGAGTAAAAAATAAACAAATAATTATAATATATATACTCTCCCTTTACCACTTTAAATGTGATTATTATTAATTAAACCAATTATCCACTCTTTCTACTTTTATATGTTTTAATTTAAATAATTTTTTATAATTTATAATTTTTGTGTTTAATAAAAATTTTAATTTAATTTTTACATATATAAATTTTATTCAAGAAAATTAAATTCAATGTTATAAAATTAAATTGTAGGTAATTGGAGTAAAGTCTTATTATTGGTGTAACTGTGTAGGTAATTAGGACAAAAGGAGTATTAAAATAATGAAGATTTAAATCGAATAGACTTCAATTAGAGTTGCATGTTATATATATTATGTCAAATGATGAAATAATTGCAACATGATATTGTGCTCTGTGACTCTAGTTGGTAAATGACAATCTAGAGTGTCCATAGCTGGATCAGTTCAGATCAAGAAGTTCACTAAACAGTTTCTACGAGGAGTGAAACTTGAAATTTTATTGTTTGTTACCAAACCAATTATACATGGCGAGGTTGTTCCCATTAAACTCATTTATGTACAATATGTTTTAGCTAAGTTAGTCAATTTATTGTTTTGGTTAAAATGTCACAAGTTTGAGGGCCAGCGATAGTAGCTTATTGAAAATTATAAGCATGGAATACATTGTTTTCAAAAGGTTGAATCTTCAGCTCCAAAGGCCCTACACCCCAGTCAGACAGAGCATAGTCAGAGACATTTGCTTAGTGTTATTGATGAGACTCAGATCATTGTTTTCAAACTTTATTCATATGACCAACTGAGCTGTCCATGTGAATTAGGCATGGCATACATGAGTGGTTGGATCACCATACATCTACGATCTACTATTATAAATATTTGAACGTGATGAGAAATGAGAATTGAAGCTACGTACAATACTACTCTTCCCTTCCTCAGCTCCCTCCTGCCCATCACCTCTCTCTATCTCTCTATCTCTCTCTCACAGCAATATGGTGACATTAACGCCGCCATAAATGCAATTTCATCCTCTCAATACGCTCTGCAATAACTCCTCACTGCCACGCACCTCTTCCCCTTCTCCCTCCTCACTCCCCACTTCACCCTCTCCGATGCTCTCTCCCTATCCTCTTTTAATTCTCTCTCTCCTCCTCAACCATTCTCCTTAAATTCTATTCACGAGACTTCTATATATCATTCCTCCTCCACCACAAAACCGCCTTTCCCCCACCCCCACCTCACAAAAACTGGTTTTCTGCTGCCTTTAATACCCAAAACCCTCTCCCTCCCACTTTTCTCTCAACTTGTAAGTTACCCTCCATTTTTGTCGTTCAAAACTTTCATTTATGTTTCTGCTTTGACCCTTTTGCTCGCTTTCCGTTATGTGTTTTTATATGCAGAAAGAAGAAGAAGGTATAGCTCGCTCGCTCACTCGCTCGATCAAGACCGATATTTCCGCTTGCGTTATATATATGAGAGAGTGTAACTTCATGAGTTTAAAGAAAAGGAGAGAGAAAGAAATATATTAGAGAGAGAGAGAGAGAGAGAAAAGAGAGTGTAGAGGGGTATAGTTGTTTAGTTTGTTGTTTTTCTGATTTTCTTCTCATTTCTCTCTGCAGTCAAGGCAGACAAGGAGGAAAAAACAACCTCGTTTTTGGCAGCCTGAAACATAAGTCAACCCTACATATATATTTAGATATAGAGATAGAGAGAGAGAGAGAGAGAAGGAGATCTTTAGGGTTTGTTGAGCATCATATATAGAAAGGAGAGTCATAGTTGTATGAAGTTTCCGGCGAAGAGAAATGACGCCGGCGTGCTACTGAGGAAGTAAGATGCCTTAGATTTCACAGAAGCTCTCAACAGTAATAGCAGAAAAGTAAGATACTTATTTATCTCTGTCTTTTGCCTTTTACCTTTCTCCATACATCATCATGCTTTTCTTTTTATAGGAAAAAAGTATATCTTTTTGAAAAAAAAAATTGAATTTTTTTAGGTTATCTGTGTGACTGTGTTCAGATCGTTATATTACCAATAAATCTGCAGCGTTGAAGAAGCAGGAAGTAGGGAAGATGTTTCAGCCAAACATGTACGAAAGCCATCATCATCTGCTGGATATGAGCAGTCACAAGAACCCAGAAAACGAGTTGGATAATATTATCAGAGATGAAGAATATGAGAGCAAATCCGGCACTGATATCATGGAAGCACCCTCCGGCGACGATCAAGATCCCAACCAACGCCCTAATAAAAAGAAGCGCTATCACCGCCACACTCAACATCAAATCCAAGAAATGGAATCGTGAGTTGCCTAGGGTTCTGTTACTCAAAATAATCAAAAAATCAATAACCCGCATTATCAACTACTGTCCCAACTTGTCTAAGCTTCTGTTACTCAAAATAATCAAAAATAGTAATTCCACTTATCAACGGTTTAATGTAACAGGTTTTTCAAAGATTGCCCACATCCTGATGATAAGCAAAGGAAGGATCTTGGACGTAGATTAGGGCTGGAGCCTCTGCAAGTCAAGTTTTGGTTCCAGAACAAGCGCACCCAAATGAAGGTTCCCCTCTTGTTTCGGTTTAATGATTTTCCTTTTAATGTCGTTTGAATTTAAGGAAAACATTCTTAATTGCATTAAAACCTCAGCTGGGATGTAAAAATGCCAACTTTATTTGCGGCCTGTTGTTTTGGTTTAGGCACAACATGAACGCAGTGAGAACTCGCAACTTCGGGCCGAGAACGAGAAGCTTCGAGCAGACAACATTCGCTACCAGGAAGCACTGGGAAACGCAACTTGCCCCAACTGTGGAGGGCCGGCGGCCATCGGAGAGATGTCGTTTGATGAACAACAGTTAAGGATCGAAAATGTTCGCCTGAGAGAAGAGGTATATATACACATACTTTATATTATTGAGCGTGTAAGTTAGGTTACAAGGAATTTAATTTCTTGAATTTAATGTTACTATGTATGTGTAATCTGTGTAGATTGAAAGGATTACTCAGATTGCTGCGAAGTTTGTCGGGAAGCCGATGCTTTCGTATCCGAATCTTCCCCCTCCGGGTGCCACTCGGTCGCTTGATCTTGGAGTGGGGAACTTCGGGCATCAGCCCGGGCTATCAGGGGAGCTGTACAGCGCCGGCGATCTTCTCCGGTCAGTTTCCGGCCCCACGGATGCTGACAAGCCGATGATCATTGAGCTTGCGGTGGCGGCAATGGAGGAGCTGATAAGAATGGCGCAAACTGGAGAGCCTTTGTGGCTTCCTAGTCCAGACAACTCCATTAAGGTCTTATGTGAGGAGGAATATGTCCGGACGTTTCCCCGAGGAATCGGCCCAAAACCTCTGGGATTGAAATCTGAAGCTTCGCGAGAATCTGCTGTTGTCATTATGAACCATGTTAATCTCGTCGAAATTCTCATGGATGTGGTCTGCACTTTTACCATACCAATTGAATTAGCCATTATATATAGTTATTGTTTCTATTTTCGATCATTTCTTGGGTTTTGATTGGTTTCAGAACCAGTGGTCGAATGTGTTTGCTGGCATTGTTTCGAGAGCGATGACTTTGGAGGTCTTATCGACTGGCGTTGCAGGGAACTACAATGGAGCATTACAAGTGGTCTGTAATTACATTAATATATAATTCTTAATCAATCTCTGTAACATTTTGGTTAGAATGAAGCTTCTTTAATTAATATTGTTTGGTTTTTGTTAGATGAGTGCTGAGTTTCAAGTCCCTTCACCGCTTGTCCCAACACGGGAGAATTATTTCGTACGATACTGCAAACAACATACTGATGGAACTTGGGCTGTGGTCGATGTTTCCTTGGACACACTGCGCCCTTCTCCCATCTCCCGATGTAGAAGAAGGCCTTCTGGTTGTTTGATCCAAGAAATGCCTAATGGTTACTCTAGGGTACGTCAATCCTCTCCCATCCTCATCCTACTACTAAGTTATTACTGTAAATTAGTGATTGACCACCTGACCTAAAGTCATAACTCTAGCAATAGGGAGGGATTCAACTTCCATCAACAACATCTTGAAGTTAGGGCTTCCCACACTAGAGTTTCGGCATTTGAATTCCTTAGATTAGAGATTGGGCTCGCAGAATGGAGTTAGGGCTCTCCAGGCTAGAGTTTAGGCCCTTAGACTCATTAGATTATATTGAAAATTGAGCTCTCAAACTTGGAGACGGTTTGGGTAGCTTGGGATACTCTTTAACTTCTGGGTTTAAGATTAGTCTGGCTTAAGCTTGAAACAGAATGTATCAAAGAATTTATTACTCCAAACCATGTTTGCTAATCTATCTTCCATCATTCCATAATTTGCAGGTAACATGGATTGAGCATGTTGAAGTTGATGATCGAGCAGTTCACAGCATTTACAGGCCATTAGTCAACTCCGGGCTTGCATTTGGAGCCAAACGCTGGATAGCCACACTGGATCGGCAATGCGAACGGCTGGCAAGCTCAATGGCTAATAACATTCCGTCAGTAGACGGTGGAGGTATATATATATATATATATATGTCAATGGCTTTTGCTCTCTCTGATCTGTAATCTGTTCTTCCTTGTACAAGAAAGTAAATCAATGGTATTCATGTGAGGTGCAGTGATAACAAGCCCAGAGGGCAGAAAGAGCATGCTGAAACTGGCTGAGAGAATGGTGATGAGTTTCTGCGCCGGTGTTGGGGCGTCAACTGCTCATACATGGACGACGCTGTCGGGCAGCGGCGCCGATGATGTTAGGGTTATGACTAGGAAGAGCATAGATGACCCCGGGAGACCACCTGGGATTGTGCTAAGCGCTGCCACTTCATTCTGGCTCCCGGTTCCACCCAAAAGAGTCTTTGATTTCCTTCGCGATGAAAACTCCAGAAGTGAGGTAACCATTTGTATCAATTTTTTTTTTTTTTAAGTTTCAGAAACCCACACCCACTAACTGAAGATGAGTAGAGTAAATCTATAACAAACATATATCCTATGATTCATGAACAGTGGGATATTCTCTCAAATGGCGGTCTTGTTCAAGAAATGGCGCATATTGCCAATGGTCGTGATCCAGGGAACAGTGTATCTCTACTGCGTGTTAACGTAGGCTTTCATGTCTTCCCTTTCTGTTAAATCATATAATATGTACGATGAATTCCGGTGCTAATCATATATATTTATGTTATACAGAGTGCGAATTCAAGTCAGAGCAATATGCTGATACTGCAAGAGAGCTGCGCGGATTCAACGGGCTCCTTTGTTATATACGCTCCGGTGGACATTGTCGCCATGAATGTGGTCTTAAGCGGCGGCGACCCTGACTATGTCGCCCTCTTGCCGTCCGGCTTCGCCATCCTCCCCGACGGGCCACCCGGCAATGGAGTGTTGAATCCTGAGATTGGGTCTGGCGGGTCACTGCTCACCGTTGCTTTCCAGATTCTAGTCGATTCAGTTCCGACGGCGAAGCTCTCTCTTGGCTCGGTAGCGACCGTTAATAGCCTCATTAAGTGCACTGTGGAGAGGATCAAAGGTGCAGTAGCCTGCGACAGTGCATGAAAATGCCAAAAAAGTGAGTTTCACTTCACCATCACCATAAAGTTGTAGTCTTTAGTTTTCTTGAAATCTTGCCCGTCCCACAAAAAGCTGAATTCCCCGGCCATAGGACCCTACATCCTGATCCAATAGGATAGTGGATGGGTAATCGCCGTAAATCAGCTGTCCATTATATGGGAGTATCAATGTCAAGTGCCAACAAGGAGCCACCATATCGGGTGCAACTCCTACATTAGGGCTACCAGGACTAAATCATCCGTACGGGCTTCTTGAAATCTTGAATGTATGCTCATTCTTGAAATCTTGAAGGAGCCATCATATTGGGTGCAACTCCTACAGCGGGGCTACCCGGGCTAAATCGTCCGTGTGGGCTTCTTGAAATCTTGAACGTATGCTATTTTTGAAATCTTGAAAGAGCCACCATATTGGGTGCAACTCCTACATTGCGACTACCAACGCAAAGACTAAATCGTCGTGCGGGCTTCTTGAAATCTTGAATGTATGCTAATTATATTCTTTGGGTTTTGGGTGAATTATTGTGCAGTGGGTTGATATGTGATGAAGAGTGGAATAAGAGTCAAGAACGCACCTCATGAGCAATCCTTGTGGCGTGGTGTTTTGTTTAGAAAGACAGCCAAGCACTTCACCAGGGTGCAAGGGTGATGGGTTCGGGAATTGACTTTTGGGTTTAATGTGGGAAGGACGATGGAAGAATTGAAGTAAACGTAGATGTTGCATGAAGTTTTAAATGGATCAAAGTTTAAGTCGTTTTGTCTATTTATTTGATTTAGGGGTGTAGGGCTTCAAGTTCTATTGAATTTAATTTGTATGTGTTCTTGAAAGAATTATTGTTAGTTTTAGAATGTGGAACTTACCACTCTTTTGATTTGCTAACAAATTCATACTTTCTTCTCTTCAATTCTACCCTATGTATCTACTTTTGGATTCATTATTAGCCTATTAAATTAGGTCAATTTTTCTCTACTTAACTCGAATGTGCGTTTTGAGTTATGTTCGTTGTGTGATCTAACTGGCAAATGATCATAAAAAGGTATGCCAATCTAATTAAATTTTGCTTTTTTCTTTCACTTTAACTTAACCAATGTAAAACAAGTAACAAGAAGCCATGACTATTATTATTATAGCTCAGGAATGTCACTCCTCGACCTATTTGGAACAAAATTTGTCTAATACATCATAAAACTAACTCTATTATAATGTAATATCTATTCCTACATACTTTCTCAATTTATTGAAGTACAGAAGTATCATTAAGCTACAAGCATCTTGGTGTAAATTATATTAGTTTAATTACCTAATAATGAGTTAATCAAATAAGGCCAATAACCTTATGATCTAATGGCACGAGGTGGCTCTCCCAAATAGGATCAGTCATGGATTTGAGCCTCAATGGGAGCAATTTCTCTCTGCAGTTACTCTAGAAACTTGATTTTGTGGACTTAGGAGTTGGGATCACCTAATAATAATATTAGTATTATTATTATTAAAATTAAATAAATAAATTATTATTGTCTATATCAAAATGTGGTCCGTGATAAGTAGTATTACGGAGTAATAAATTAGATGATCTTATTATGAATTAATTAAATAAAAACATTTAAAAATTTGTTGTGAAAATTTTGGTACAAATATATAGTACATACATATATAAATTGAAGGTTTTTTTTTTTTTTTTTTTTTTTTTTGCATGACGAGTGAAACTCGAAGTCATTGGCTAAACTCTGCTTCTTTAATTTGTAATAGCCTTCAAGCTTAATCGATAAAGTATTGACAAGAATCAAATTTGTAACATTTAGATACGAAAGTAGTCATGATTCACCGACTCGATTATCTATTTATCCCTTCGGGCAGGTTGGATTATTATTTAAAGCCTTATCATAATAATGACTTACAGTCGCAGCACACGACCTAACAGGCATTACATATGCAGAAATTAAAATAGTAATGAGAATACTGGTTGTCTCATTATAATGTATGGTTGTGTTATTCAATATTTGGTGCGATAAAATAACACATTTTCTCAAACATGTTGGGTGAACCGAATTTAATGAAAACACAGTAATCTGTCTTGTGTTCAAGCAATTTGATGTTTGCCATAAGACATAAGAGTTATATTCCCACCATCCATAGATGTACGATTTTACTATCAATTTAAACTTTTAATCAGAATGAAACACTATATTTTTTTATTTGGTGTTGAAGTAAACAAAAAAGTTACTCATGGAGGTGTTAAATAGAGGTGTCTAGGGAGGACCTTACTCCGTACGAATATTGGTGTGTAGGGTCAGTCAAAAATAAATAAATAAATTTGAAGTAATGTACTAATGTTGTGTATGAGTGAAGGGTTAGTTATTGGGGAATCCAAATTATGTTGGGGACCAGGTGGACCCAAATCTAAAACGCGCCTCAGGAATAATAGTGTTGTTAGTGATATCGTTTCTTCAACCAATGATATATTTTTTTTGTGGTTGCAAAAATCCCGCCTAGGCACCGAGTAACCGGCGCCTAGGCGCTAGGCGCCCCTAGGCCGTGGCGATTTCCCCCCTAGGCTCCCGCCTAGGAGATCGGCCGCCTAAGCGCTTGCCTAGCGCCTAATTCGACCGCCTAGCGCCTAACTCGGCAAATTACGCCGAGTTAACTCGTCAATTTCTGTCGAGTTAACCCGGCCGACTCGACCTTGCTAATTTTTTTCATTTATATGATATATATATATATATATATATATATATATATATATATATATATATATATATATATATATATATATATATATGTATGTATGTATGTATGTATGTATGTATGTATGTATGTATGTATGTATGTATGTATGTATGTATGTATGTATAATATGACATATATGCACCTATGTATGTATGTATAATATGACATATATGCACCTAAACACGTGTACTATTTTTCATTTTTTCAGTTAGCCGCCTAGGTGACCGCCTAGGCCGTATAGGCGCTAGGCGCTACTCTACCGCCCGACTAGCGCCTAGCGCCTATTGCAACCATGGTGAATATAGATTGAAAAATTGTGTTATACTGTTGAATATAGAGTTTAAAAATTGTGAATATTGAGTTCTGTAATTTTGTATATTGAGATTTAAAATTGTAAATATAGAGTTCTAAAATTGTGAATATAGAGGAACGAATTCTAAAGACAAACGGCAAATTAACGGCAAGGAATGAAGCAATTTTGTTAAAAAAATTCAAACGGCGACGCCGTTTTTGAACCCGGGTCCATGGCATAACAAGTGGGGAATCTTGTTGCCAGATTTTTACCAGATGAAATTGGCAGAGTGTAAATGCAAAGTCTGGTACACAATAACTACTTTATCCCACCTCCTTTTATTGTCTCTTTTCCGTTTTTACTTCATGTGTGTGCAGGTGCAGGAGCAGGAGCAGGAGCAGGAGCAGAAGAAGTAAACATGGTGGTTGATGAATCTACTGCCACCTCTTCAATAATTAAATTGGTGGTGTGGCCGTGTGGGTCTAGGGGATACAGAAGATTTACTGAACATTTACTTAAAACTTGTTTTTTAGCAGTGAATCCCTACCACAAATAATGTTGTATAATTTGTTGCTGAATCTCAAAATTATATGGGCATAGGAATCTGGGGATCCATCATTTAGTCTTAATTCATCTCCTATAGAAATAGAATCCACTCATTAGAAGAAGGGACTCATCCATCCTTAATCAAAAGTCAAGAGTTCGATCATTGGCTTTGAGAATGAAACAGTCTTAAATCTCTAAGCCAGCTATCCTACCGGGATTAGTCACTATGTTTAACGGTAGAATCATATTCACTTATTCGTGTTATAATTGTCATCCCTAATTGGAGCTAGTAAAATGGAACCTATGGACTACCCATCAATAGCCCACTCCACGCAACTAATATTGGAGTCGATCACTATTGTGTGTACCATATTTTGTATGTTATAAATTGTACATTCAGTACAAAAATAATGTATTTTTAATATATTAATGATACACATTATATTCATAAAAAGTACATTATTTTGTATAATGTACATTTAATACACTAATAATAAACATTTAATATATTAAAAATGTACTTTTTGTATGGTCCACACAGCACTGTGTGGACCATAATTTGCCTATTGGAGTAGGCTGGGCTGTCCACAAAGTTATTACCAATTGGACCAATATTGTGACTCTTACATAGAAGAAGATGCATATAATAACATGTTTACCAATTGTTCCATTACAAAAGTCGCATATAATAACATGTTTACCAATTGTTCCATCACATAGAAGAAGACGCATATAATAACCAATTTGTCACGACATAGTGACTCTTGCATAGAGGAAGACGCATATAATAACATGTTTACCAATATAATGACTCTTACATAGAAGAAGACGCGTATAATAACATGTTTACCAATTGTCCCAACATAGTGACTTACATAGAAGAAGATACATATAATAACCTGTTCACCAATTGTCCCAATATAGTGACTCTTACATAAAGTAATACACATATAATAACATGTTTACCAATTACCAAACAAGAAAGTAACCTACAACAATTTACCAAACCAAAACAAGCATCCAAAATCATTATTACACCAACCTGAATCACCCAAATCTGCTACTAAAACACACAGGGAATCCTGCATCATATTCATCCATGATCCAACATCTTGGAAGAAATTCTATTCCATCAACTTGGATCACAATTTCAAGTAGTAAACTTCTTACCAATATCCCAATCAATCCATTAAAAAATAAATAAAGCATTCGAGTTACTTATAGGGTAAGTGGATAAGATGCATTTTGACAAAATGGTACGACGACTTACCTAGACAGACAAGTACCAACAGCAAAATAAATTTTTGTTCTACACAAGCTCACTTAACAACAATACCATGTGTAATACCATAATTGTGTGAAAGAAGCCACCAACAATTAGCCACTTATTTACAAAAAATCGAGCCTAACCCAATTCATCATCCAACTCCCAATTCGATACCTAAGTCCCAGCAGACGGTAATGCTGCCATGAATGAATTGTACGACGATTCAAGATCAAAGTGAAGCTGGCGTGACTGTTGCTCAGTCAATTCATCAGCAGCCCCCATTTTGGACAGCCTCGAAAGCCACTCTCTCATCTTGGTTTTTCCCTCGAAATCAGGTGGCAAAATTGAAAGCTTGTTAAGGGACGACGACAATTCTGACAGGAGCGGATGGACCTGGTCAACTGCAACCATGTTTAGCTTCAGCGAGTCCATTGCAGTAATGAAGTTCTGCACACACTCGGCCACTACAGCAGCCGAAGTTGAAGCTGACGTGGCAGCAGCTGCACGGTGCTCGACTGTGGCGGGCACCCCTGAAGTAACGAGCCGGTTTAGTGCTGCAGGGCAGTCCATTTTGTAGGTGTCGTGAAATCGTTCAATGCTTGGCACAGTATCTTTCAGTGTTGAAGATAATGTCTTGAAATGTGCAATCAATTTCTGGCATTCAGTTTCATACTCTGCTGGTGATATGATATCTCGAACATATGCCTTCTCGAGCTTCTCGGTGGCTTTTATAATGGCAAACAGCTCAGCGAAGTTGTCATACATCTCTCTTTCACGCTTGTCATTCCATAGCTTAACCTCCATGGGGGAAAGAGTGGGTATATAGTGCGGATTGGATAAAAGTAATGTCAATCAAAAGGTTGGAGAAGAGAATGGGTCACGCGCAAAAGATGCCTACTCCTTCACTGTTAAAAGGGTGAGAAATAGATTAACCTATTACAATTTGTCAACAATCAAATTACTAACTTCATGCACAAATGCTTAAAATGCTTTAAAATCCTCACTTTCCACTAAGGTGAGGAAAATATGAACCTCCCAAGCATGTTTAACCAAACCATACTAGTCCAACTTTATTTATCCACAAGTTCAAACACAATTTCAAAAAATGAATTGACATATTGTACCATTTGCAGCA